TAGCGCAAATGAAAAAAACCTGAAAGGCAATATTAACATTATACAGGGAACCAACGGCAGATTTGAATGGATCGATCAGTCCAAATGGGACAACGCCTACTGGTCGGTGACCGGGCCATCAACCTCTGGAACCGACAAGAATTGTCTGGTGGTAAGAGGCTTTTTAAATTGATTGTGAAACCTCCAAAGAATATCTGCTAATTTGCCCCTGACACATTTTATTCAGCTGTTCGGCAAGGTGGACAACGATGCGACGATCCTGAACCGTTGGGCCGAGCACGATTGCGGCGGCACCGCGATGGGCGTTTGCAAGAAGGTCAGTTTCGATTTCCTGTGTGAATTTGAACTAGTTTTAGCCCGGAAAGACGAAAGCCTGAATACGTCCACGAAATAATAATAACAACAAATTTTTATGGAATAAATTAAATTATGGCAAATTCTAATACAAAATACTTTCGAATTGAGGAGCAGCTCCTATGAATTAGCACCGATCCGAGTTAAAAGGTTTTAACTCGGATAGAGTTTTGCTAATTTTTTTAGCGTATTGTCTGAAAGGCCATTTCGTCATTTCAGTTCGTCAATTTCATCCGTCGAAAAAGGACGAAAATGTTTCGAAATCACGGCTTTGAATCGGGAAAAGTCCAAAGATCAGGCTCTAGATTTCAAATTCGACCTTTCAAATCTTGAATCCCAAAAAATGAACAGCGCCTTTTGAATAAAAGGGGATCTGGCCACCAAAACTTTCCCCTCATAAAATATTTTATTCAAGCAACAGTAAAAATCAGGAGGGTCGCAACGAAAAACTGCGAAAGCCCAACACCAAAGCCTCCCTCCAAGATGTTAAAATTGCTGGGATTCTTTGATTTTGGTAATAGCTGTTGTGGCCGAGGTAAGTAATTTGCAGTCATTAATATCTTATGAATTCAAAGAAAAACATCTTGCACTACTTTAGAACTGCGAGCCAGGCTGGGAAACAGTCGCTGATCACGAAGAATTGCTACAAGGTTGTAAAATCTGTACCGGAAAGATGTCTATGTTTAGGTCACCGAAAAAAAGGACAACCTCCGGACGGCAGCGAGGGAATGCGCTAACCTTGGCGCACAGGTCACTACAGTTTTGGATGACGAAGAAAAGCAGACGCTAGTTGGTAAGAATAACACACCAAAAGTTTCAAAATGTTTAGGGATTATCGGGGAGAAGATTCCAAAACAATCGATATGGATTGGGAGCATGAAGGTAGGGATCTACGCGTATTGTAAGACGTTTCTATGGTGATTGAAAGGTAGGCTAGCAATAATTATCAAGGATATATCACGGAGCATAGGTGTCCATGGCTAGTATACCTATGTAAGACCGCTTGTTTTTAATCGATCAAAGCATACTTACGTACGTGTAATAGCTAGTATACTTATGTAGCGCACAGAGCGTTACTTTTAAAAACAATGTGGGTGTTGAAGGCCTCTTTTGTATTTCTTACTAATCTATCTTGATGGTTGCACAGCAGAAGCCCGGGTATTTTTGAATAATTTTTGCAATAGGCATATCATAATTACGTATCTGATTTTAATTGCAGTATATTATAACTTTTTAAACGGACTTTGTTAGGCTATAGCGGGTTTTAGGGGGGCACTACTGAAAATAGCTTAGACTAGCAACGGATAGCTTCTTTCACGCTATTTTGATTTTTGACGATCTATTATTTGTGCGCTAAGTATACCTTAACTGGCAATCTCAATCATTTTTTGGGATGTCCAAAGACCACGACGCCCCGAAGAACTATTGGATGAATGGTGAGGAGCAGGCGTATTCTACCTGGGGCGATCAGTGGGAAATTCCCGGCTTCTTTTGCACGTTATTGAGTGGGTGGGTACCTTATGGCCGACTGGATTGATTTTTATAGCCCAATGGCATAATGCTGCACCAATGAAGCCAGGCCCGGCTGATGCACGGCATCTGTAAACGTCCCTTCGGAACGAAGACGCCACACCTGAAAGAGCCAAGACTGCTGAGGACGACTGCACGGGGTCCAGACATACCGGGAAATGTTATAAGGTAAGCATTTTAAAGAAAAACCACGAATGATGGAGTGTGTACGATAGGATTTCGCTCGAAACTTTTGCGTATAAAAAATCCTATATCCCCTTCACATATTCTATTTTAATGCCGTTTGAGCTAACGGGTAACAAGACCAACAGCATGGGCTTCCCAAGAAACGTGCTTGAACTGGAATGGCAAAGGCTCATCGGTGACCTCCTATCTCGAGAAAGTAATTTATCATTGGTAAGTATCTTCGGACTAGTTCAGTTTTAGCTCGCCATCGAATGTTCATGCGTGTCTGGTATTTCAACGATCTTAATTGGGACTGGCTGTACGCAAAAGAATTACGACCTTCCAGAACTAGCCGAGTCCAATGGGTTCAACAGCGTCAATGGCTGGGAGCGAAGAGGGTAAAACTTACATTTATAATAACAATATATCAATCGGTAACTTACAGTCAGTCCGAAGATAAAGTTTCGAATTTTCATATTTAGGGTTCCAACGGAAGATTTGCTTGGCTCGACGGGGAACAAGTTCGATGGGGCATATTGGTCAGCCGACGGCCCATCGACTTCTGGCAACGATAAAAATTGTTTAGTGGTGAGGAAAAAAATTCATATTGGATTCTCGGTATTCCCATTATTATCTTTCCTATTCAATCGTTTTTTAGCTCTGCAGCCGCTCCACTTTGAAACCATCTGGATGATGGGCACCGTTGGTCGGCGGCAGACTGTGGGAAAAAGAGTTACGGATTTAAGGGTTTGCAAGAAGGTACCAGGTATCAGCTGATCCCTAAATGGCTTTTAGGACCCGATCGGTGGAGTAACGGCTTAAAGGAAGGTTTTTGAGTCAATAAAACTCTTTGATTTTGGGTGCTTACTTCATACTTTTTCATTTCATACTTGGGAAAACGGGAATGCCGTGATGGCATGCGGGTGGCTTAAACATCGAATTGGTCTCATCACTCGGGCAGGACTTTCCTACCAGCAATTTAATATGAAATCACCACAGATGATACTTTTGCTCTGTGGAACTGACCGCACCAAAAGTCAGGCACCAATTTTTTGGGTTATACTTTGCTTTACCCCCCCCCCCCCCAGCCGGAAGTTTTTGGCTATAACTTTTTTATTTTACATTATTGTGGGGTTCAAGTTAGAGCTCAACCAGGATTTCTCTGCTCCGAAAAGGACTACCTCAAATTACCTTCTTGGTATGGCAAAGCGGAAGCTTACGATACTGCAGTGGCCTTGTCAGCTCTGTGGCTATTCCTCCCAGTCGAGAGACTTGATTTTTGACAGATACATATCACTATATGCAGTTTTCGCGGTGGCAAAGAAAAACTTTACATCAGACTTTCATAAAAGTCGATGGGCAATGCAGATGCATATCCAACTGCATAAGGTTCACTGGATTTTGACCAAAACCGAAGATCTTGAATATGACCTAGCAGCCTAAATGAATATGCGAGCACCAGTAAAGATGCGGTACAAATAGCAGAGACGGATATGGGATCTATGGCGCCAGATTTCAGGACTCAAAATCCTCAGGCAGCTCATATTTTTGGGCATAGCAGCACATAGTCTTTGCTGGGAGGAGCCATGGCTCATTCAAAATTTGAGGCGCGGCAAGGTTTCGGGGAGCAGCGGTTCAAAAACATCTGCCGTTTACCGCCTTTTTCCAAAGATTTTCAAAAATGATAAGGGTCCCCACCCCATCACTGTTTTCGCCATCTGCAGATTTCAGGGGCAGCATGCCCCCCCCCCCCTCCTACGGGCCTGTTTGCTACTGATGTGGGTTGTTTCTGGAGACCTGGCCTATAGTTTTTTAAGGAATGCGAAGAAGGGTGGTTACTGAAGAGGGGTCAAAGAGCTGCTACAAGGTTTGCAGATGACTTGGAGCTTTGGTCTTCACTTCCTAACTTTAGATCATGGACGGGACAACCTTCTGGGACTCGGAGTTTAAGTGTGCTCAACTGGGTGGCCATTTGACGTCGGTTTTGAACGACGAGGAAAATCAAGCATTGCTTGGTTGGTTGTTACGACAAAATTTCGTTGCTAACAGCGCCTATTAAGACCTGATCACGAACGAGAACGAGGGTATGATGGTGTGGGTCGGAGCCCTGGCGGTAGGTTACGCTCGAGGAGTATTTGACTAGAATTGGGAGAATATCTGCTAGTTTCAGCAGCGGATTTCTGCTATTTTTAATAATCGTTGGAATTTGATTTGGATATCCAGAGCATATTTCAGTACTCTCGCAAGGCCGGGCCCCGGGTGAACCACTGGATGGACGGGAGTGAGGCCAAGTTCGGGAACTGGGACCCGGCGCCCGACTACCAGAGTGAAAAGTATTGCGGAACCATGTTGGTAAGTTCTCTCAATTTTTCCTATTTGTATTCGCATCTGGCTTACTCAGCGAACAAACACAAAGGGCAAAATTTTTGCTTAAATTTCTCCAGCTTCTTCAAGATAGAATTTTGTTGAAAACGTGAAATGAAGACAAAATTTGAAAGAGAAAGAAAAGAAGCAAACCGTTGCGCCTAAAACAGGCGCGCAAAAAATTCAAAACCACAGACAACGCGGGCTTCAAGCGACATGAAAAGCGAAAAGTCCCGACAGCGAAAAGCCCGACAAGCAAAAATCGCGACAACCAAAATAGCTGTTTAAAAGGGGAGCGGCACTTGAACAAGCGTCAAAAAATGCGGAAATTTTGTCTTTTGACGGGATTTTCACTGTGAGGATCATGATATTCGTTTTTGTCTGTTGGGGTTATGGCTGGAGTTTTATTAAAACCTGGGCACATTTGGGACAGACCTGTCCGCACGGTTTGAGCTATGATTACACGAGTTTTCAGCCAAGCGGAAAGCTGCAAATGAGCGTCTGCCACGAGCACAAGAAGGGCCTTTGCAAGCGCGCAATTGGCCAGGTATCCGTCCATTAACAAGTCTTGATAATAATCTTTACCTAGGAGGCGCCCACCTTCACCAAGCCCGCGTGTGAAGTCGGCTGGTCGGGCTGCCCGTTGACTGGATTCTGCTATAAGGTTTGTGCCATTTTTTATATAGGGTACCCCGAATGGCTCGGAGACAGAGAGAGAGGGAGAGAGAGAGAGAGAGAGAGAGAGAGAGAGAGAGAGAGAGAGAGAGAGAGAGAGATCGAGAGAGCACAGGGGAGCGAGAGAAGAAAGAGAGATAGAGACATATAGAGAGAGAGAGAGAGAGAGCGAGAGAGAGCGAGAGAGAGAGAGGGAGGGAGAGAGAAAGGTGTTCGGTACCACAATAACAATATATCAAGGTAGTGCCGTTGCCTTTACATTTTACTCGATTTTCAGACGGCCAACGGCAGGTCAAACAGCGGTGCTGCCCAAGAATATTGTCTGTCGCAGGATGCCAATCTCGCCTCGGTGACGTCGTTTTTGGAGAATGAGGCTGTGCTCCGTAAGTAGATGCTTTTGAACCCCTCGATCATCTGTTTCAGGTACGGCTCAGGAGGGTGGATACAAGAAGGTGTGGCTCGGCGCGAAAAAGGTAAATGAGGAATTACAATTTCTACATAAGAAGTAGCAGGAGACTTTTCGATAGTTCATTTAGTCAGAAGCCATTATTAGTTTTCATGGAATAACCAAGAGCTCGTGCCAAATCACAACACCTAATTTCAGGTAGCCATGGGGCCGTGGACCTGGTCCGACGGTACCCCGTGGGACGTCGAGTTCTGGAACCCGACGACCTCCTGGAATCAGACGACCAATTGCGTTGGGGTACGGCCATGCATTTTGGTCTTAAGCAACGTTTTTTGACATTTTTAGAGCTATACCGAGTCCACGGACGCGGCGAAACCCGACGATAGAGAAGTCCACCGCTGGCATGCGCTGGACTGTGATGCGAAGGACCTGGTTGGAGTTTGCAAAAAGGTGAGACTCCCATTATCAGCCCCCTTCCTCGCACAAACTGGCAAAATCGCAGTGATAATCTTAGAAAATGCAACTCAGAGGTATGCTTATGCGCTGGCCTGGTATGATTAGCCTTTTAGGTCGCTTTCCTGGTAAAAACCCAATAGAATTGTTCGAAATCGATCAATTTTACCAGATATTACCTGTATTTTGGTCGATGGGAAATAGGCCCTGTTTCGTTAGGCCAAGCTTCACGGTAATTAAAAAAAATAGAAGATTTAGGTTTATACCCTCCGAGTACAAGATCTTGCATAGAGTTTCCAAACGTTGCCGTTTTTCAAAGAGCATGATTCTCAAAAGAAGCTTTCAGGCACCCGGCTCGTCTCCCAGCAAGGAAACGAAGGCCTAATTTACGATAAATTATTTTTATTAATTTATTTATTACAAACGACATAACCGATGAGGAAATATAGCTTTAGTATTTCGAAAACAAATGCTCAGGCAGGCGGGCATTTGGGTTTTGCTCACATGGGTCGCGGTCGCGATGGTGGTCCTGAAGAATTTAAAATATGAGAATTTAGGGATTTATTGTTTTAGATAACTAAAATTATCTACAAAAGTTCATAATTCAAAATCCGCAGGAGTTAGAAAGATTACAAAAATAGAAACCTTGTCTTCTCGTCCGTGACTAAAGTCCTTTGATCTTTTCACGCCCTCATCCTTCATTTGGACCCCACCGCGATCCTCGAGCTGAATTGACAAAATTAGCGGTCGTAGGTTGTATTTTCAAAGATTTTTGCGATCGTATCCATAAATTTAAATCGTGGTCCTTCAAAATATAAATAAACGCACCAATCCCTTGCTCAACGGCTCATTCAAGTTGTCCACACGATTATCGCGAAGTGACATTATGGTGGCAGGTTTTTATTGCGCTAAACATTTACGATAGTTTAGCGAAATCCGGTACATATAAAAAAAATAAGGATCAGTAAGTAAATGAAAAAATGCAGGAAAACTACATGTATCAAAGCGATAGGACTGAGCTTGTCGTGCCACGCTCGGCTTTTTATAAGCACCACCCCTGTTGATCTTCTCATGGTCGTCAATTTGTTGACCATCGCATGCTTTCAGCGCCTGTACTTTTTGTTTTCCGGATAGCGCCGTTGGCCAACGGGCATGAAATTTGAATGTTGCCAAAAATCTAGGGGACCTGGAGTTGTCCTAGCTTCCAAGAAAAAGAGAAAAGAAGCTGGAAAAAGCACTGCCTTTGCGGATTTTCAAAAATTCTCTCGAAGATCCTTCCCCTCGATTACGAGAGCTCTGGGAGGCGGCTTAACTTATATCGTACCTTTATATCAAGAATCGTACATTTTCAAGGCCGCTATGGCGGAATCTTACGACATCGGTTAGCCCAGGACATTCGGCTGGGGCGATAAGCAGGCAACCTTTGGTATTGCCGGCTACTACGGTAAGAATCTGCAAGTAATGTTTCGAGACAAAAGCCTATTGAATATACATGAAGACTCACTGGTGGTGTCCGAATTTTCGATTGTATGGAATCCAAAGTTTCCGCAGCCAGTCGACAACATGGTGGTCGAGATACACCTCCTACTGCTGCTCATGCTCACTATTTCGCAAGCTGAGGTTGTGCACTAAAATTAGTCAACCCAAATAATCCTGCAAATTTAGGGCTGCGAGGTGGGCAGCCTGATCAGGCAGGGTGGGAAGAAATATGCTATCAGGCAAGTGGAAAAATTAAAATCACAAAACGAATAATTTTACAAGCCATTATTCAAAATTTTAGCCCGTCTTGAAACCTGGCGGCAGCATGACGTTTGCCGGCGTGGGGGATTAAGTGCGCGCAACCAGGCACGGCAAGCTCGGATCCGTACATTCGGCTGCCCAGAATCAAAGATTATGGGTACCCCTAGTTCGCTAGAAAATTCAGAAAATAGTTCCAGAGGTACTATGGGGCGCGGTAAGGCCCGAAATTTCAAGTCAAATTCCGACTCTCAATGCCTAAAAATCGTATCTGAAAATTAGTTTCGACGATAAACCCCCCCAAAAAGCTTGTATCCAACATTTCAGGAGTAGCGCGAGGGGCCCTGGCACACCCAGACAGGGTAGCGGTTGCAAGATGCTGCTCGGCACATCGAGCGTGAGTAGTTCAAATTCGGACCATAAAAAAACAAATAACTGTACAGGGCGTGATAGTTACACCCTTCGAAAAGATTCTTGAAGAGGCGGAGTCTGCAACAGCCTTGAAACCCTTATTCTTATTTAAATTTTTTTTTTTTTTTTTTTGCGCCATTTTACAACAATTTCTAAAACATTGAAGAACACCTGTTGCATACTTAGTCATTTTGCTTGAAAAACTTGCAGCAAACTGGCTCGTATGCAACCTCGAAGATGCCAAAATTATGTGGTTTGTAAAGTAGCTAGTCGAAATAAAAACATGGTTTTGAATCAACATTGCAAACTCGCCGTTTCAAGGCATTCGAATGGTGTAACTATTATTTTGATCTTATACATCTACGGTGAGTTAGGGGTTTTTGTTATTGGGACACCATGTATCTGTCTCACTACTAAAACGTCTCTTTAGAAAAAAGATGGCGATTTCCACTGGATGGACAGGACCCCGATGGACTACACAAGGTGGGACGTCGGCGAGCCGGACCGGAAGGCAGGAGACCCTGTTGATTGGGGCGATGAGTTTTGCATTCAGGTTAGAGTGGTTCTTAATGCTGCCGGAAACAAACACAGATATTTTTTCCATGATAACTATGAACATTTTTGTCAATTTCAGATGTACGTGAAACTCTGGAACGGCTATGAGGGTCAGGGCGGAAAGTGGTGGATTTGAGTTATAAAAGCTACATCCTGACCTAGGGACTACGTCGGAAAATGGCTGGACCTCGGATGCAATTCCGGTTTACTGCATGGGGCTGTGCCAGATTCCGGTACGTTTCAAGTTTTCCACGCGTTCAGAATGTATGAAAACGCCATATGCCAAAAATACGGCATGATGAAAGTTTTTTGATTTTCCATGACTTACAGATTCTTTACAGAATGAAGCAAATGGGTGAAATGAAACGATTGTTCTTACAATTGCATGAATAAATGAATTTACAATGTTTCTATCTCTCTCCAGCACAATCGGCAAAAATCGTCAAACAGTTTTTGAGTAGGTATCAGCCCAGCCGCTGCGATTCCTAGTTTTTCGTCAAAATTTCCTCTCGGCCGGCCGGGATGTAGTTCTGTAGAAATTATGGGCTGGTCCGATATGTTGCTAATTCCAAACGCCACTAACAGTAACGCGACGTTACATAGGCTGGAAATTTGATTCGCGACTAGAGTGCGGCTTATTCAAACCGGGTTTGAATAAGATTTCCGTTATTCAAATCAAACCGGTTTGAGTCGCGATTTGATTTGAATAAGCCGCACTCTAATTCGCGACCTAGCTGATCATGTGCAGAAGTTTTCACCGATTCCGGATCTATTTCAATTTCCGGAGAAACCCGATGTCAAGATTGAAAACCTTTTGTTGGCCTTTTGTTGTTAGTTGAAACACTGGCCTGAGTTATTCTAGAAAAATTGTAGAATACTTTTTGGAACAAGGTGAACGTCGGCCTGCGGTCAAAAATATGCTCTTTGAAATTAGCTATCTCATGGTCCAGAACCGACATTGGGTCAAGGAATGGGTTTTTTACCGACGTCAAGTAGCTTGGATGGCCTGAAAATCTTGGCGAGTCACAGAAATTCGGAGTCAACTAAAGATTCTGCATCAGGTAAGCTGATTTTCAAATAAGAATTTCTAGTCCAGTTAAAAACACCTTTCAGTACGATTCTCGTGGCATCAATTTTGCTAAAGCCAACGCCGCCCTCAAATAAAACAAGACCAACAGTCAGGGTTCTTCGCTCCTTGAGAGCATCTCTTTGCATCGTGATTTTTGTATGTCTGATGTATGAAAGCCTTCGCCGCTCAGCTCGCCGACCTGTCCTCCAGCAGAAATGGCCAGGTGATGAGCTTGCTGTTGCTGGCATGTTTTGGCACCTTCAATGTCCGCTGTAGGTTTTACTATAACAAGGTACAAGGCACTTTTATACTTTTAGTAATCAAGTCATTCACCTCATCGCCTAGTATTTCAGATAATTTACCAGAGTAACCTTAGTGTCGTACCCACTTTGCTTATAAAGCTTACTACCGTCCAAAGAAACAACGGTTCCTACCAAGAGTAAGTCACCATGTAAAATGCACACTATCCCTATCAGTTAAGCAGGTGTGAAATCTAAAAGTAATAAACTGTTAGATCCAACACGAAGGGAAAAGAACTAGAACTTATGTCTCTTCAGGATTCGGATAGGGCGCTGTCAGAAACCCCAAACCGGTCAAGAAAAGCTTTTAGAACTTCATTTTCATATTGCTCGATATATTTTTGTAATCTGGCAGTAAAGCAGCTGGTGCACGATTTTGGGCATAGTAGGCAGGTCGCAAAAAATTCGGCGAGGAGGGAGCGCAGAGAGGCAGGCAGCGGAAGTCCAGCCACTTGTTGGCAGCTTGGTGTATATAATGTGTCAAAGGTACCTTTCAAAATTTCAGAACACAAACTACCCCATTAAAAGATTTGCTATCAGACTCTTCAGGCCGCAAAAGTAT